CCCCCCCCCAAAAAAAAAAAAAAAAAAAAAAAAAAACCAATTTTGGATTGCTTATCCGATTTTGCACTTCTTTTGGCCCGCAATGACAGCAACTTTTTTGCATCCCGCTTGCTTAAGTGCTTTTCCTAGTGTCACTTTGCCAATCTTAAGTTTGCAGACATACGTCTCAATGTAGCTTGGCGTAAAAGATTCATTTTTAAGCCTTTTTGACTAAATTATACACCTTTTGGCCGAATTTTGTGCCCACTGAAATAAACCCCTGCATTCTTTTTTTCCTTTTTCTACAGGTATAGATGTGGCACATTACGCCAGGCATAGTAAATTACAAGCAAGCCCTTGCAGTTTACTCCCCAATTTTTGAATGTAATAAAATTTAAATTCGATGTGGGTCTTTTGATTTTTGTTTACTTAAATTCTTTAATATTTAAACTCGATTGAGATCTTTCAGGAATAAGCACTGGTGACGAAGTAGAGTTTGAGTTCGGTGAAAATTTTCCACTCGATGCGAGACATCTGAATCGAGTTCACGAAGAGCTGGAAAAACTGAATATTGCAACTGATGTAATCAATAAACTGGAGCTACAGCTTGATGAGGCTCGGGCTACTTTCAGGTACGCATCTTCGTTCGCCTTGAGAAGTTTTTTTTCCCCAGGGAAAATCGAGTTTCCGTTTTATCTTTCTATTTCTCACAGATTGCTTTTGCAGGAAGATCCAAGCATCGTGGTCGCAAAAATTGAATGAGTTAAGTCGAAAATATGGTTCAGCTATTGCAAAAGGTCGTCCCTATTATGAAGCCAAACTTAAGGTACTACTATGAAATTACATTCAGAAATAAATTGATTTCAGCGGGTAATGGAAGGATTTGGGGAAGACATCAATTCAGAAACGTGCTTGTGGGAATCTTACTAACGGATTGTTTGTGAAATATTAAAAAATCAAAGCAAAAATTCTTCATTATTTCCTGAAAAATCTAACTGTTTGTACTTTTTACTTGAATCTAGCGCTTGTTTGTACTGTAATGACACTGAGCGCTCCAATGTGCGCCATGTTTTCCTTACAGTTATACGATTGTCTCAATGAGCATACTTATTGTGCCTTTTTAACCAGAATGTAGCATAGTATAACCGAAATTAGTAGGCAAAGGAATGACAAATATCATGAGTTTGAGCGAAACAGGACGAAAATTGACAAGAAAAAAGTATGCAAACCAAGAATTTTATTGTGAATGCTGTTAAAATAGTAGTAATAAAACGGAAAA